AGCAGGAGGGGAAGCATATGGGCAACTGCACGTGCACCAGAGGTTCCTCAATGCAAAGCAACACAACAAAGGGGAAAGCCAAGGGCTGGTATTTTCCCCAGCACCTAGCAGTCGTGATAAGAGCTGCCAGCAGCCTTGCTTAGCTATAAAATTCTTCATTTTACAGAGCTTTGAATTTTACTAATGTTCTAGTTAAGTCACATAGATTCGCTGCTTCAGTTGTATTTATAACAGTAAGACAACTTGCTTTTAAGTCACTGCATTCCCAAATGGTGCAGGCTAGACTTTTTTCAGTTTTGATTTGTACAGAGTAAAGTAAAAGAAAGGAAGTTTTTCAGTTAAGTGAACTGTCTTAAGTTTATAGATTGGAAAAAAAAAAAAACCCCAAACCTGTATCTAGATTCTAAGATGAATAATGCTATAGGGAAACTATATTTTATATAGGGCCCAAGTAGTTCTATAGGAAGAAGTTAAATATCGATAATGTGGACAATGGTTACTTTTATATTCCCCTTTCAAATTGGTGTGGTGAAAAGAGCAGTGGTGGAAGGATGCCTTTCAGCCATGGTACAGTTTAATACATGTACCTAGTTGAAAACACGGACCAATTTCTCCGTTTGAAAATTAGACATGTTGTTCTGGTGTAATCATGCACGCTTCTACCCTTTAAAAAGGCTGGAAAAATTATATTTAAGCAACCAAATATTTATCTGTTTACCTACTGAGTTGTGAGATTGGTATGATAACGGAGTGCAACGTCACCTCTGACCCTCAGTATGTAAAATTTTAATGGAACGCTCTCTCGAAGCTCAGTGCCAGTTCAGCTTGTGCTGACATCCGCGGCCAAATGCTCCTGGGAAGGGAGGGCGGTTTGCTCCTATGCACAATAGTTTCCAAACTGGTGCCAGCCGCACCGCGTTTATTAAATTGCAGTCTCCAGGCATGGCTGTGGAGGCAGTGAGAGAGGCGAGGCAGCGCTCAGCGGCTCACAGGGAGTTGGCGACACTGGTTTAGGGAATCTGGGCAAGTTGCCCGGGTGGTTTCCTGGAGTATCTTACTGCAGCACACGGGGCCAGGGGATCCGTTCATCAGGAGCAATGGCACCTGATTTGCTTTTGTATGAAAGAAAACTGTTGAGGGTTTAAATCTGCTGGGCAGAGGAGCATCCTTCAGGCTGCTAATGGCATCTGTGTGTGCCTAATACTTCATCTGGCCCAGCCCGTCGGCAGCTGACTTTTAGCAGTGAGCTGCCGGAAAGGGTTTGGTTTCTGGCTAACGAACAACAGTAATATGTGGCTCAGTGCTCGCCCACAGAACGCACATCAACCACAGTGCATTGTAGACAAAGTTTTAGCAGTGATTTATTCCCGATCAGAATCAGCCTGGGTCTGTGGTCCTGCTCAGAGATGCAGGCCACTTTTCTCCAGAAATCACTGGGCGCAGCGTGACTCTTCCCCTGCCATTGGGGTAACAGTGACTATAAAGCGCTTTCCTGCTGCTCCTAAACTGTTGTTACCGTGTGTCTTCTCTGTGCACAATAAAAGAACAAAAAAGGGTTGTTTCCAACTCAGCGGTTCCCTGCCCTGCCTCAGTACGCAGCTCTCCCCAAACAGGGTAGGGCACAGATAGTGACAACTACAGCAGAAAACTAATTTCTTAGCTGTATTTGCTTCAGGTGTGCTTTTAGCATGACAGAAATAAGAGGGACAAAAGTACAGAAGACTCTTTTTTAAATCAAAATAATTCAGTAAATAAGGGCAGGGAATCTGAAATGACACGACTGTGATGACAAGTGTCTCCCCCTGCAAAAGGACACACGCCGGGGACAGCAAATAAAAGCAACTTCCAACAGCACACCAAGACTTGCAGTTCAGATATAAATGCTGTGTCACTTGAAATACAACTGCAGCTAAAACTGCATTTTATGCAACAGCAAATTACGAGTAGTATATACTATTTTTACTCCTCTCTGCACCCTGTGTGAAGACAAATAGTCGACCCCTTCAGAGCTTACGTCCCATCACTGGCAAGAAGAGTGTAGCGCAGATGCAGGACTCCAGGACGCACGGGTTTGTTTCTGCAGCACCCAGCTTCTCAGCTCCGGCCATGAAACCCAAACCCACCCAGATGCCTGAGTTCCCTGTGTAATGTAACACACCGGGAGAAGCAATTTGGTGAGCAGGAAGCTGCTTGGAGCCAGCCAGTAGGAAAAGCTGAGCACTGGGGGAGGAGGGAAAGGATGCAAAAATGTCACCTCTAGCCAGCCGGAAAGCATTTCTGCTACAGGGAAACGGGCTCTGTCACTTTGGGATGGGAACGCAGAGACTGCAGGACCTGGGGAGTGCTCCATCGGGGGCTGGGTCCGCTCTTGCTGTATTTACAACCAGCAGCAACAGCCACGTTTTACAAACCAAGCAGCTGAAACTCATCCAAAGTTGCTCTTGAGTGGATGCGGGAACATCAAATTCTGTACCCACCAGAAAAAGAAATACTGACAATAACTGGCAATTTTGTGTTGTCTGGCTTGACAGCTCCCAGGTTGCTTCAGATGGCTCAGCAGCACCTTTCTACAGCAACGTCATCTTCCTAACCTTCTAGTAGCAGCACAAATACAAGAAACAGATCCTAGTAACTACTCTTTGAGTAGTAACTACATAAATAGTCTGCATTTATACTAAAACATTTATGCTGTGATATAAGTAGGTGAAACCTCAAACTGTTAGATTGAAATTTCAAGTCTTTTTGTTTTTTCCAAGACAGTCACTTCACAGAGTTGCTCCCAGGCTCCGAACATTTTCCTTCCGGAGCACACAGCAGATACAGTCAACAGAGAGAAGTCTTCTCCCTACTCAGGCAAAGTGCAGTGAAGAAATAATTACAAAGCTGCTACTAAAAAGAAAAGTTTGGGGTACTTCTTAATGCTGCTCA